CATCTCATTTAATAGGTAAAACAATTCTAGGAAACAAGTATTGCCTCCATTTTACTGATGAATACAGTAAATGTGAGACAAATTTAGTCGCTTGCCTGAAGTCATCCAGCTAGTAAATGGCAGTTCCAGAATTCAAACTCTAGGGTGCCTGAGTGGGTTATCAAACCTCATAACTTTTCTATTATGATTCACTGTTTCCCTCAGATTCACCAAGAGTATCTTCATGTAGAAAGGTTTGGATACATTTCCAATGATTCCCTTGAAATAGTTTCCTAGAAGTAGAAGTCCTATTGGAAAGGATATAAGTATTTCAAGCTTTTGAATACATACGGACAATAAATTTTTTTGCAAAAAGTTTTTACCAATTTACGCTCCTACTAGCTCCTACTAGCAGTGAATGAAAGTTGTTTTACTGAGATTGAGCAAGGATCCTCTTTTTAGAGGCCTGTGCTCCCCAAGCATGGAAATAATGGAAAATTCTGAAGTTCCTTCAAGAGACATTCTAGGCACCCAGCTAGCCCCAGAAATAAATAAGTAACTTAAACAAGAAGGTAATAGTAGCTTAAAACAATAGCCAAGGAAGTTAAAGTTCAAAAGATGTTTGCTTTATAGAAACTAAACATAACGTCTTAACATATGTCCCTGAGTTGTCTTTCTGAGCCTCAGAAAGAACCACTGAAGGAACCACTGAAAGGATCAGATGGCCCTCAGATCAGCTAATGGATCAGCCTCCAGCTAAGAGGGAAGTGAAGACTGAACTATATGGTCCTTTGTTCTAAATTTCTTTCTGGGGTGCTTGGAGAAAGTCACTCCCCCTAGCCAGTTAACATTTTTCTACTGACCCCAAATTTTTAAACAAAGCCTCTCTTCCTTAACAACTGCAAATCAGAAAATCTTTGAATCTATCTATCACTCTCAAGCCTCCCTACCCCTGCCTCAACATATCCTGCCCTTTTAAGCTTAAACCAATGTGTAACTTGCATATATTGATTTATGATTTTGCCTGTAGCTTCTGCTTTCCTGAAATTTACCTCTGCCTTTAAAAATCATTGCCTGCAAGCCATCAGGGAGCTCAGGATTTGATAATTTAGCTGCCTGGTCCTCCTTGCTTGACACCCTGCAATGAAAGCCTTTCTTTCTATCACTGCAAACCTTGGTGCATATATGTGGTTTTACTGTACTAGGTGAGCAAACATCAGTTTGGTTCTATAACATTATCACACCTTTGCCACCAATGGGCATTATCATATTTTAAAGAATTGTTGAACTTTTCAAGTAAAATGATAACTATTGTTATTTAAATTAATAATTCCTTGATTAATAAATAAGGCCAGATGTCTCTTCTTATATCTATTGGCCACTGACACTTCTTTCGTGAACTGCTATTTCATGTACCTTGCCCATTAAGAAAAAGTTTGTTATTCTTCTAGATTGAAAAAACTACTATATTTCAGGAATAGTAGCTATCTTTCAGGAGACTACTGTATTTCAGAAACAGTAGCTATCTTTCTGATGTGTATTCAAATATTTTCCCTAGTTCTTCAGTTACATTGTAATTTTGTTTATGAAAGTTTATTTTATATATAGAAACTTGACGTTTTTGGTAAACAAAATACTTTATTTCATACTTTTCACTGCTTTCAAGCCTAGGAAGTTTTCTCTTACTTCGTATCTTTAATACTCATTTTTATAGTCTTCACATTTAACTTTATTTAATAAATTCATTTGAAATTTATTTTGATCTATGTTATATGCAACACTTGCATTCTTTTCTCTCATTTTTTTATTTTTAATTTTTTTTGAGACAAGTTCTCACTATGTCACTCAGGCAGAGTACAGTAGCACGATCACAGCTCACTGCAGCCTTGACCTCCTCGGCTCAATCGATCTTCCTACCTTAGCCTCTGGAGTAGCTGGGACTACAGGAATGTGCCACCATGTTCTGCTAATTTAAAAAAACATTTTTTTTTTTTGTAGAGATGGGGTCTATTTTGTCCTGGTTGGTCTTGAACTCCTGGGCTGAAGTGATACTCCCACCTCAGCCTCCTGAAGTTCTGGGATTACAGGTGTGAGCCACCATGCCCAGCCTTCTTTCCCATTTAACTATCTATAAAGCATTAATAATTATCCTTTTTGTTTTTTCTTGAGATGGAGTCTCGCTCTGTCTCCAGGCTGGAGTGCAATGGCACAATCTTGGCTCACTGCAACCTCTGCTTCCCAGGTTCAAGCGATTCTCCTGCCTCAGCCTCCTGAGAAGCTGGGACTACAGGTGCACCACATCACGCCCAGCAAATTTTTGTATTTTTAGTAGAGACAGGGTTTCACCATGTTGGCCAGAATGGTCTCAAGCTCTTGACCTCAGCCTCCCAAAATGCTGGGATTATAAGTGTGGCCTATAAAGTATTAATATTTTTAATGGCTACATATTTCATCATTTTTATTTACTATGATTTACTAAACATTCCTCTATTAGTAAACATTTAATCTCATTTTTAGTTTTTGCTATTATAGGTTTCAAAAAGTTTTCATGAATATGAGATGTTTGAACCTATTAAATTATGTCCTTAAAATAAATTTCTGGCCGGGCACAGTGGCTCATGCCTGTAATCCCAGCACTTTGGGAGGCCAAGGTGGGTGGATCACCTGAGGTCAGGAGTTCGAGACCAGCCTGTCTAACATGGTGAAACCCCGTTTCTACTAAAAATACAAAAAATTAGCCGGGCATGTTAGCGTGCACCTGTAATCCCAGCTACTTGGGAAGCTGAGACAGGAGAATTCCTTGAACCTAGGAGGCGGAGGTTGCAGTGAGCCGAGATCGCGCCATTGTACTCCAGCTTGGGCAACAGAGCGAGACTCCATCTCCAAAAATAAAAATGATAAATAAATAAATAAATTCCTATAAATGTGGCTTCTAGTTCAAAAGATACTGATGTAGAAACAGTTTATTACTCAGTTAGTGTACAACTAGATGATGGGGTTTTCATAAATTTATTATTGAAAAATAGCTGTCCTAATAACAGTGACATAATAATACACTTTTGTTATTGTTGTGTGTTTTACAAAGCCTCATTTTCTCTTAGGAAGCAACATGATAAAACTGACTTCTTGCTTGAATATATGATTTTAACATTTTTACACCTAATAATGGGAAAAAAACATATTCTAGTTCATTAATTACCACATGGATTTCAGTTTTTCCATATTTAACAACAATAGACTTTTTTTTTTTCTTTTTCTTATATATATATTTTTAAGACAGAGTCTTGCTCTGTCGCCCAGGCTGGAGTGCAGTGGTGCAATTTCGGCTCACTGTAACCTCCGCTTCCGAGGTTCTGCAATTTTCCTGCCTCAGCCTCCCGAGTGGCTGGGATTACAGGCAGCTCCAGCCACCACACTCTGCAAATTTTTGTATTTTTAGTAGAGACGGGTTTTAGCCACGTTGGCCAGGCTGGTCTCCAACTCTCAGCTGCCTGCCTCAGCCCCCCACAGTGCTGGGATTATAGGTGTGAGCCATCACACCCAGTCACACTTATAATGCTAAAAGTTTTTTTTTTTTTTTGAGACGGAGTCTCGCTCTGTCGCCCAGTGCACTGGCGCAATCTCGGCTCACTGCAAGCTCCGCCTCCCATGTTCACGCCATTCTCCTGCCTCAGCCTCCAGAGTGGCTAGGACTACAGGTGCCTGCCACCACACCCGGCTAATTTTTTGGATTTTTAGTAGAGATGGGGTTTCACCGTGTTAGCCAGGATGGTCTCGATCTCCTGACCTCGTGATCCGCCCACCTCAGCCTCCTAAAGTGCTGGGATTACAGGCGTGAGCCACCGTGCCCGGCCTATGCTAAAAGTTTTATACCCAAATTTATTGAGGTAAAATTTAAGTACAATAAAAATAAACCATACATATTTAAAGTATATAATTTCATCAATTTTGATATATGTGTATACCTATGAAACCATCACCACAATCAAGATAACCATCATTTCCATATCCCTAATATTTTCCTTTCATTCCTTTGTAATCCATCTCTCCTTCTATCCCTGTTCCCAGGTAACCTTAATCTGCTTTTTATCAACATAGATAAATTACTTTCCCAGAATTGCATATAAATGTAATTATATAGAATGAACTTTTCAAGACCCTGTCTCTATATAAATTTTTTTTTTTTTTTTTTTTTTTTTTTTGAGACGGAGTCTTGCTGTGTCCCCCAGGCTGGAGTGCAGTGGCGCGATCTCGGCTCACTGCAAGCTCCGCCTCCCGGGTTCACGCCATTCTCCTGCCTCAGCCTCCTGAGTAGCTGGGACTACAGGCGCCCACAACCGCGCCCGGCTAATTTTTTGTATTTTTAGTAGAGACGGTGTTTCACCGTGGTCTCGATCTCTTGACCTTGTGATCCGCCCGCCTCGGCCTCCCAAAGTGCTAGGATTACAGGCGTGAGCCACCGCTCCCGGCCAAAAAAATTTTTTTAAATAGCCAGCCACAGTGGTGCACATCTGTAGTCCCAGCTATTCAAAAGGCTGAGGCAGGAGGATCCCTTGAGCCCAGGAATTTGAGGCAGTAGTGAGCTATGATTGTACCACTGCACTCCAAAGCAAGACCCACATCTCTTAAAAAAAAAAAAAAGTACTCTCTTTTCTCCCTTTTGTCTAGCTTCTTCCATTTGGCATAATGCATTTGAGATTCATCCGTGCTGTTGTATGTATCATTAGCTCATTTCTTTTTATTGTTGAGTAGTATTCCATTGTACAGAGGTACCACACAATTTGTTTTTCTATGTTCTCTGTTAACCTGTTGATAGAGATCTAGGTTTTCAGTTTTTGCCTTTTCGTTATCCTAAATTTTTTAAGGTCCAATGCAGAATGACTATAAAGCTATATATTTAATATCCTAGTATACCAACTGGTTCTAAATATCAGTTGTAAAGATGTATATGCTAAAGATGTAAGTAAACAGATATATAAAGGATAAATTACCATGATGCTTTTTATGCAATTTTTTCTTACCTTTTCATGGACTACGCTGTCCAGGTAAGGGTAAACATGAAAAGCTCCCCGAATTCTCTTCACACCTGGATACAACAATGGGACCATATTAACATAAGCCACACCATGAAACGAAAGCTGACCTTCTTCATCAGTCTAAAGGAATAAAACCAGAGAGTTATTAGTGCTATAAGCAATATAATATAAGGTATGGAGCTCTGACTCAGCAGTTCAAAGGCCTGGTTTTAGAAACTAACTCTACTACTTAGCCAGTTACGTGACTTTGGATCAGTTACATAAGACATTTTGGGCCTTCTTTATCATCAAAATGGGTTCAATAATACCATGATCACTGAGAAAATGCATATAAACAGTGTTAATAGTAAAGGCAGTAGTTGCATCAATACAAACTCAAATTAATTGATAATATATATATTCAACCAAAAAGTCAATTTCACCATGTGGCTTCCTAGGAGAAAGTGAAGCTTTATAAAAAACAACAACAATAACAATAACAAAAAACTTAAAAGGAATCAGAAGCTATGGCTTTTAGCTTTAGTTCACAGACTCATACAAATAAAAGGGACCTTACAAATTATCTGGACCAGTGATGACAAATAGGCTTTAACTTATATCTAAATTCTCATTAATTGGTGGAGGTGTTTTAGCATAGTTGGTTGAGAAAAATTATCTGCATTTATCTTGGTTCAAAAGGAAAGAGTGCTTTGATTGATCAGCATTATCCACCATGGATGAAGGCGGATGAATGACAGTCTCCTGTCATGTATTTACCATACTTGATTTCATCTAAACTTTCATTGCAAAGATGAAGAACATGTTAATAAATATATTTTAACAGCGTTTTTTAATGGTTGTATGGTTTGCCACAGAAAATTTTTATAGGGAAAAAAATCAATTTTGTGAAAGAAAATAAATTCCAAGCATAAAAGTAACCTCTTTGATTTCACCTATTATAATAATTGGCAACTAGATTAAAAAGTCCTATGCTCGGCTGGGTGCAGTGGCTCACGCCTGTAATCCCAGCACTTTGGGAGACTGAGGCAGGTGGATCATGAGGTCAGGAGTTCGAGACCAGCCTGACCAACATGGTGAAGCTCTGTCTCTGCTAAAAATACAAAAATTAGCCGGGCGTGGTGGTGTGTGCCTGTAATCGCAGCTACTCAGGAGGCTGAAGCAGGAGAATCACTTGAACCCAGGAGGCGGAGGTTGCAGTGAGCCGAGATTGCACCACTGCACTCCAGCCTAGGCGACAGAGTGAGACTCCATCTCAAAAAAATTTAAAAAAAGTCCTATGTTCATGTGATAACAGATAGTTTAGAAATCTAAGGAAAGTTTGCCAATACTTATATATAACAAAGGGAGAAATGGTTACGTAGTGACAGTATTTTTATTATGTGAAAAGCCTATGTTTAAAGTCAGCCAAACAATTTAGATACTTATTAAATGTCTGCTATTTGCCATACATCATGCTAGGTACCATGGAGGATACACATCAGCCTACTACATGACCCCTACTCTCAGGGAGTTTATGAACAAGCAGAAAAGACCAGATATGCACAGGTAAAACAATAGATAACATGTACTAGGCTCATCAAAGCTAAGCCTTTTAAAAATAGTAGTATATCTAAGATTCCTATTACACTAATTAGCAGGCTAAAACATTTTAAGTAGGCAAGTTTAACCTATGGTAAAACTATTGTGAAGGGCTAAAGAGAAATAGGATATCTGGTAATAAAGCCTAGAGAGTTTTTAGTGAACAACGGGGAACTAGGGTGGCCAATAATCCTGGTTTTTCCCAGGACAGAGGAGTTTCCTGGGACATGAGACTTCCAGTGCTAAAACAAGTGAAGTTCAGGGCAAATCAGGATGAGCTAGTCACCCTTGGGAGAACAGCTATATTAATTCACATTTTCTTTTGGTATCAGAATTGAAGCAGAATAACAAGTCGAGTCTGATTCCACATTTCTTATATAAATAGTTTTGAGGGGGCATATTTACCTTTTCAGTTTTGCCAGCTTTCCCTTTGGGTACAGTGACCAGAGGAACTCTTGTGATCTCTACAGGCCAAAGCCGGCAATCGGCAATTCGCTTCTGAAAACTGCAAATCAAGAATCAGTCCATTAGCATTATATGTAAAAATAAAGTCAGTATAATTTAGGTTAAAGGGAAATATTCTCTTTTATTAGGTAATATAGAGTATACATATATAAAAACAGCGGGGCTGGGCTCAGTGGCTCATGCCTGTAAATGCCAGCACTTTGAGAGACTAAGGCAGGCAGATGGCTTGAGCCCAGGTGTTCAAGATGGTCTGAGCAACATGGCAAAATTCCATCTCTATGAAAAATACAAAACATTAGCTGGGCATCGCAGTGAATATCTGTGGTTCCAGCTACTTGAGGAGGCTGAGGTGGGAGGATGGCTTCAGCCCAGCAGGTCAAGGCTATAGTGAGCCGTGATGGCGCTACTGCACTCTCACCTGGGCCACAGTGAGACCCTATCTCTTTTTTTTTTTTTTTTTTTTTGAGACGGAGTCTCGCTCTGTCGCCCAGGCTGGAGTGCAGTGGCCGGATCTCAGCTCACTGCAAGCTCCGCCTCCCGGGTTCACGCCATTCTCTGGCCTCAGCCTCCCGAGTAGCTGGGACTACAGGCGCCCGCCACCTCGCCCGGCTAGTTTTTTGTATTTCTTAGTAGAGACGGGGTTTCACCGTGTTAGCCAGGATGGTCTCGATCTCCTGACCTCGTGATTCGCCCGTCTCGGCCTCCCAAAGTGCTGGGATTACAGGCTTGAGCCACCGCGCCCGGCCTGAGACCCTATCTCAAAAAAAAAAAAAAAAAAAAATTTAAAAAAAAAAAAAAAAAATTTAAATAAAATAAATAAAAATTTCTTACTGGGTTGGTGGTTTTTAAAACTTTCCCAAACCTATAACATTCCAAAATTAATTCTGCTCAACTTCTAGTGAGGCAAATTGAACACTTTTAGAGCAATTTAGCAATATGAATCAAAAACCTTCAAAAATCCATAATCATTCACTATAAATTCTACTTGTAGTGATTTATTCTAAAGAAATAATCAGACAAGTTTACAAATGGTATAAAATTGGTTATTTCTACTGTGAAAATAGTATCCAGTTTCAGCTCCAACACAGTTTTGAAGTAATCCCACCAGTCCTCGCAACAAGAAAAATGTTGACCGAATTGAAATAAATAACATTTCTTAGATCCATCATAGAATTGAGGTCACAAGGCAAAAACTGCCATCCTGAAATTGAGAAAGACAGGAAAATACAGAGGATCACAACTGCAGTCAGCTTAAAGACAGCAGAAGCCAGTAGTGTCAGCAACCAGTAGAAATAGTTTAATGATAATTTTGACAAATTGTTGGAGACTGAATGTAGACTAGCTGGGAGTGAAAAACTCCAGAGGGCCCACTGTTAAGGGTCCCCATACTTACATAAGTTTTAAATCCAGGAGCCCCACCAAGTTCTCACAGTGAAGATGGAAGAAAAATACCCTCATATTTCAGGCAGGGAGGGAAGAAAAGTAACCATTTTGAAATATGGCCGCAGCATTCTCCCTATCAAAGGGTTGATCTTTAAGGGAAACTACTTTACCAGATTCTTATCTGATCTCAGGGAAGGGCATTTAGACAACTCCAACCTATCTAGCTTCCACAAGGATAGGAGGAAAAGAAATTATGGAACACTTCTGAAAGTCACAGCCCAGGGACCCAAACCTATTTACTGAGACTTCATCACAGGTAATAGAATACTTCTCCCCAACAACTTGCCACTACATCAACAGAGTTTCAATATAATAACAATGAATTACAACTGAGAGGGCTACACACCACTCTATTAGAGAAGTTCTTGGGCAAATCCAAAGACAACAGGGGAGGTGGGGGGGAAAAGGAAACTGAAGCCTCTGGCACTTACAACTATAGCAAACAAGAAACACAACCCAGCTCCTAACCAGATTAACATAATACCTCACACTAAAAATACTAGTTACCTCAATTCCTATTACCCAATATATAATGGCTAGCTTCCAAATTAAAAGGCTATAAAGAATGCTAAAAGGCAAGAAAAAAATATAGTCCAAATAGACAAAGCTACTATAAGACCTAGACTAAGATATGACATAGATTTTGGAATTATCAGGTAGGAAATTTAAGTAACTATAATTATATTAAAGACTCTTAAGGAAAAAGTAGGCAACATGCAAGAACAGATGGGTAATGTAAGCAGAGATGGAAACTCTAAGAAAGAATCAAAAGGAAATGCTAGATATCAAAAACACAAACAAAAATGAATAATTCATTTGATGGGCTTCTAAGTTGACTGGACATGGCTAAGGAAAATAAAATCAGTGAACGTGAGTATATGCGAATAGAAACTCCCCAAACTGAAATGCAAAGGAAAAAAAATGAAAACAAAAAATCATAACAGAATATCCAAGACTTGTGGAACAATTTAAAAAGGTGTAATTAGGCATAACGGAAGAAGAAAGAAAAGAGCAGAAGAAATATTTGCAGTAATAATAGCTAAGAATTTTCCAAAATTAGCTGACAGACACCAAACCACAGATCCAGGAATCTCAGAGAACACCAAGCAGAATAAGGACAAAAACAAACAAACAACTATATCTAGGCATATCGTTTTCAAACTGCAAAAAAGAAAATCTTGAAAAAAACCAGAGGAAAAAACACTTTACCTATGGAAGAACAAGGGTTAGAAATACATTGGACTTCTCTTCAGAAACCATGCCAGCAAGAAGAGAGTAGGGCAAAATATTTAAAGTTGTGAAAGAAAAAACCACCAACTTAGAATTCTGTACCTACTAAAATTATCCTTCAAATGTGAAGGAGAAATAAACCCTTTCTCGAACAAACAAAAATGAGAGGAGTTTCTGGCCACTAGACCTGCCTTACAAGAAATGTTAAAAGTTTTTAGAGAAAAGGAAAATGACATGGGTCAAAAAACTTGTATCAACATAAGAAAGAGCATCAGGAAAAGTCATAAATGAAGGTAAAATAAATTTGTTTTTTTATTCTTAATTGATCTGATAACTATTTGTTCAAAGGAATAATGACAACAATGTATCCTCAATAAAATATTAGCAAATCAAACCCAACAATGTGTAAAAAGAGTTACACACCATGACCAAGTGGGGGACCAGGGGTATATAAAAACTCTCTAAAACATCTGCTCAATTTTTCTGCTCGATTTTTCTATAAATCTTAAGCCGTCCTAAAAAATCAGATATTCTTTTTTTTTTTTTTTTTTTTTAAGTCAGAGTTGTTCATTCAGATTGTATATATATTGGTAATCCCTCAATTGTCATCTCTAAAGACCAGGTCATTGTGACAAAGACTGATAGTTACCTACACAATATGTGTACCTGTTCTTTACTAATTAAATCTTGATTTAGCCTGGGTGACAATGTGTTCAACTAAAACATTTTATTGCCTAGCTTTCTTGCATCTAAAGGTTGGCTAATGAGACATAAACAGAAGTTGCCAGATTCCAGGAAGGTTCCACAAGAGGGGTTAAGACAGCCAGCATGTGTCCTTTTGTATAACCATTCTCCTCTTCCAAATTTCTGCCAGAAATATGAGTGTGCAAGCTGGAGCTCCAGCAGCCACCTTTGCACCATGACACAACCTTGTGGATGGAAGTCACGCAGTAAAGAAGGTAGAGCAAAAGGAAAGATGGAGCCTGGACATCTAATAACACTGTGTAATCATCATACATACCAATTCTGGACTTTTTTTTTTTTTTTTTTTTGAGATGGAGCCTTGCTCTGTCACCAGGCTGGAGTGCAGTGGCGTGATCTCGGCTCACTATAACCTCCGCCTCCTGGGTTCAAGCGATTCTCCTGCCTCAGCCTCTCGAGTAGCTGGGACTACAGGCAAGCACCACCATGCCCAGCTAATTTATGCCCAGCTAATTTTTCTATTTTTAGTAGAGACAGGGTTTCACCATGTTGGCCAGGATGGTCTCAATCTCTTGACCTCATGATCCGCCCGCCTTGGACTTTCAAAGTGCTGGGATTGCAGGTGTGAGCCATTGCACTCAGTCGACTTTTTTTTTTAAGAGACAAGGTGTCACTCCATTGCCCAGGCTGGAGTGCAGTGACTCAATCACAGCTCACTGCAGCCTCAACCTCCTGGGCTCAAGCAATCCTATCACCTCAGCCTCACAAGTAGTAAGACTACAGGTGTGTATCTGCACCAAACTAATTTTGTGTGTGCGTGTGTGTGTGTGTGTGTGTGTGTGTGAGAGAGCCAGGGTCTTACTTTGTTGCCCAGGCTGGTCTTGAACTCTTGGCTTCAAGAGATCATCCTGCCTCCCAAAGTGCTGGCATTATAGGCATGAACCACCAGGCCCAGCTCAGACTTCTTTTATACAAAAGAGGAATAAGCATTCACCTTGCTTACACCACATTATTAGCTGTTTCTGTTATTAGCAGATGAATACAACGTCACTCTAATATATAGATGTGATAAATGAAAGTCTCAATCTAAAATCACCTTAACTCAAATATAAATAAAATTAACAAAAGTAACATTTCTTCCCACCTACAAGCCTTTGTGGGTTAGACATATTTCCTTCCTCTTCTTACCTGACCACTGCAGAAGGATCAAGGTAGCAGCGACTTTCCAAGTCCCAAATAATCCTTTTCTTTATGCACTCTGCTTGATTCCTAAATTCACTGTCCTGTAAAATATAAGATAAAGACTTCTGTTCTCTGTATCTGTGCCATGATTTCATTCTGCTCCATCTATAGGGCATTCTTTTAATGGATTTGTTCACAATACTTTTCTTACGACTACTATTACTACTGTAAGTATGACTACTATTGCAACTACTACCACCACCTTAAAATTATGAGTACTTTATTAATAAAGTATATAAGATAAATTACATATATAATAGTTACATTGATCCGGTACTAAGATCCAAATACTGACTAAGATAACCCCAGTCAATGATTCTTAACTCTAGATGTACATTAAAATCATCTGGATTTTTTTTTTTTTTTAAATAACACCTGGACCGGGTGCAGTATCTCACACCTGTAATCCCAACACTTTAGGAGGCCAAGGCAGGAGTACTGCTTGAGGCCAGGAGTTTAAGACCAGGCTGGGCAACAAAGTGAGACCTCCATCTCTAAAAAAATTTAAAAATTAGCCGAGTGTGGTGGCATGAGCCTGTGGTCCCAGCTACTCACGAGGCTGAGGCAGGAGAATTGCTTGAGCCTAGGAGGTTGAGGCTACAATGAGCCTCAATAATCACACCATTGCATTCCAGCCTGGGTAACAGAGTGAGACCCTGTCTCAAAAAAATAAAAAACCAAAAAAGCAAAAAACACCTGGCATTGGTACTATTTTAAAAGTAAATTCTTACATAGTTTACCTGGGTTAAGGCTTGGCCATTGTCATTGTTTTCAATGCTTTCCTGGTGACTGTAATGTGCAGCCAGGATTGAGAATTAACAATCTAATCTAAAACATAAAACATAATCTGAATGTCTAAAATAAAATGTCTGATCTAAATTCAAATAGAAATCTAAGAAAAGTATGAATTTTCACTAATCACAATGATGAGAAAAGATACTGCGCAGTGTTTTTCCAATATTCCTAGCCTCATCTCTACTATTTTATATATTTAGAGTCAGACAATGAAAAATAATTCAACCATCCTTATTTTACAAATTATTTTATTAAATGTTTCCATCAGTGGATTATCAGCTCATTCAAGAAACATCTGCAAGTGTGTTATACTATTTTCTATGCCCTTGACAAATTTGTGGTAATTTATATAATTAATAATAAGTATATTAAAGTATGTCCATACAATGTCACATTATACAGCAAGTACAAATAAAGAAAAAGAGTGAGACTGCTTTTTATGTAATGTGCAAAAATCTCAAAAATACACAACAAAGTAAAACAAAGCAAGTGCATATAGTGTGTTTAAGTATGTACTCTTTACATTTGTGTAATAAAAATGATGGGGAAAGAATATATGTATGTATTAGTGTATGCATATATATATGATTAAACACAACTCAGTTTTAAAAAATGAAAAACCAGCAGGGCGCAGTGGCTTGCGCCTGTAATCCCAGCACTTTGGGAGTTGGAGGTGGGCAGATCACTTGAGGTCAGGAGTTTGAGACCAGCCTGGCCAATATGGTGAAGCCCTGTCTCTACTAAAAATACAAAAATCAGCAGGGCATGGTGGCGTGCGCCTGTAATCCCAGCTACTCAGGTGGCTGAGGCATGAGAATAGCTTGAACCCAAGAGGCAGAGGTTGCAATGAGCTAAGATAGCGCCACTGCACTCCAGCCTGGGCGACAGAGTGAGACTCTGTCACAAACAAACAAACGAACAAACAATAATACCTTGAGATAAAGGAAAAATAGCAGTGTCTTCCCAACAGATTCTAGTTCTGAAAATAACAAGACTTTGAATACTTCCTGAAAATCTGGACTTCTTAAGATAAGAACTTTTATCGGCCGGGCACAGTGGTTCACACCTGTAATCCCAGCACTTTGGGAGGCCGAGGCAGGCGGATCACCTAAGGTCAGGAGTTCAAGACCAGTCTGGCCAAACATGGTGAAACCCCATCTCCACTAAAAATACAAAAATTAGCCAGGTGTGGTGGCAGGTGCCTGTAATCCCAGCTACTTGGGAGGCTGAGGTAGGAGAATCGCTTGAACCCAGGAGGCAAAGGTTGCAGTGAACCGAGATCACGCCATTGCACTCCAACCTGGGCAACAGGAAGGAAACTCCATCTCATAAAAACAAAAAAAGAAAAGAACTTTTATCCCTGATGTTTATTATGCTGATGTCTGAAGATATTTTATAACCTTTGTATATCTGAGAATCAAGTGAAGAAACCTGCAGTTTTGCCATCATGAATAGACTAATATAAATGGGGTAACGTTGGTAATTTTGTGTTGCTTTCTTATAAAAACATTTGACCTTGAACAACACAATTTGAATTGCCCACTTATATATATGCGGATTTTTTTTTTTTTTTTTTTTTTGAGACAGAATCTTGCTTTGTTGCCCAGGCTGGAGTGCAGTGGTACGATCTCGGCTCACTGCAGCCTCTGCCTCCCGGGTTCAAGCGATTCTCATGCCTCAGCTTCCTGAGGAGCTGGGATTCAGGCACACACCACTATACCGGCTAATTTCTGTGTTTTTAGTAAAGACGGGGTTTCACCATGTTGGCTGGGCTGGTCTCAAACTCCTGGTCTCAAGTGATCAGCCCGCCTTGGCCTCACAAAGTGCTGGGATTACAGCCACTGCACCTGGCTCATATGTGAATCTTTTTTTTTTTTTTAGACAGAGTCTCACTCTGTTGCCCAGGCTGGAGTGCAATGGCACGATCTTGGCTCACTGCAACCTCTACCTCCCGGGTTCAAGTGGTTCTCCTACCTCAACCTCCCGAGTAGCTGAGATTACAGCTGTATGCCACTACACCCAGTCAATTCTTGTATTTTTAGTAGAGATGGGGTTTCACCATATTGTCCAGGCTGGTCTCGAACTCCTGACCTTGTGATCCACCCGCCCTGGCCTCTCAAAGTGCTAGCATTACAGGCATGAGCCACCACATCTGGCCACGTGGATCTTTTTTAAACCAAACATGGATTAAAATACAGTATTTGCGGGATGAAAACCCACATATATGGAGGGCCAACTTTTCCTATACATAGTTAGTATAGGGCTGACTGAAGGACTTGAGTATGCACGAATTTTGCTATTTGCAGGGGTCCTGGCAACAATCCCCCAAGTATACCAAGGAATCACTATACTTTTTTGTTTGTTTTGTTTTTGAGACAGAGTCTCGCTCTGACACCCAGGCTGGAGTGAGGTGGCACAATCCTGGCTCACTTCAACCTCCGCCTCCCGGTTCAAGTGATTCTTGTGCCTCAGCCTCCCAAGCAGCTGGAATAACAGGTGTGTGCCAACATGCCCAGCTAAGTTTTGTATTTTTAGTAGAGACAGGGTTTCATCATGTTGGCCAGGTTAGTCTCGAACTCCTGATCTCAGTGATCCACCTGCCTAGGCCTCCCAAAGTGCTAGGATTACAGGCATCAGCCACTCCGCCCAGCCAAGATGACTATACTGATTTTTTAGTTGGTGAGTCAGTCCTGAAGTCTGATTCCCTTTCACAATTTCCAAGGAAACCTTTTCTTTACTTTTCTAAATGCTTCTGTCTCTGAGTCTTCCTTTGACTTATGTATTTCCTTTTATATACATAAGAAAGTATCTAGAAGGAAACACAAGAAACTGTAACAAAGGTGATGACTGTCACAGAATCCTTGGTCTGTTGCTTTTCCAGCAGAAAACCTCTGTGGCTGGTGGCACCTTTGCCCAAATTTTGGTTGGGCCTGGTAGGCTTGTTTCACTCACTTGGCCTGGCAGGTTATGCTAGGCTTGCATACTGGCCAGGATCCCACGCCTGCCAAGGGTGAGCCAGGCATGGAGCATTGAGGGGTGTGTGAGTAAGCGATCATGGGGTCTGGCCATTGTGCACAGCCAGGCACGCTGGCTGCAGCAGAGCCAGAAGCTCCAGGCACCACCACAGGTGGCAGCTCCCTGTGAGGCTGCAGCTGAACCAGGCATACTGCAAGCAGCTTCCATGGCTGGCACCAGGGAATGTGGTGGTGCTCAGAAGCTTGGAGACACCAGAAACTGAAGAACCCCTGGTGTCACAGCCCTGGCTCAGGGAGCTCCTAGGTCTGGGCTTCCCAAAGGACCACAGCTCTTCTCTCTTCTCCCCTTTTTGTCACCCACAATGTGATGAGCAAGGGACATGTTTCAGCCCCGTTTGTGTTACAGCTCTTTCAGCCCCACCATTCCAGCAGGTCCTGAGTTCTTGTTTTGCATCCAGGAAGAATGAGGTACACAGACAAGTGGAGGGTGAGTAAGGCAAAGAGGTGCTTTACTGAGCAACAGAACAACTCAGAGGAGACTCACTGAGTAGTGGTAGCTCCTCTCTGCAGGCAGGTAGTCCTGACAAGTGTCCAGCTCTCAGGAGAGGGGAGACCCACAGTGGGTAGCTCCTCTCCACAGGCGGGACGTCCTGACGAGTGTTCAGCTCTCAGCAGAGAGGAGACCGACAGTGGGTAGCTTCTCTCCACAGGCAGGTCATCCCATCCTTTGCCTGAGTCTGGTTGAGTCCTGGGTTTTTATGGGCTTCAGAGGGGAGGAAGTGGATGCTGATTGATCCATGGGAGGCCATGGGTGGGGCCAGAAAAGTACCTTAAGTTCTCATCCTGGTCCATGGGAACTAGCAGCCTGGCCCCCAGACCTAAGGCAGTCCCTGGCCTGAAGGTGGGGTTTCACTGGGGACCTGCCCCTTTTCGCCCAGGAACCTGTCTGCCTCCTGCTGCCATCCACAGTGCCCTGGCTGTTCATGCTGAGGGGTGCCTGCAGGCCCATGCCAAGCTGCCCTCAGTGGCCCCTTGGACTTTCTCCCATGCTCATGGGTGCCCAAAGTCTGGAGGGGGATCAAGATGGCAGAGGGTTGGTTTGTCAGCACTGCCCTGAGTACATGCACACCTGGCCAGCTTGTGACAGCACCAGGCTTGGCCACAACTTTGCTCTGAAATTGGAGCAGGCACCAGGAGTAAGTAGAGGCCAGGCATCAGGAGCAGGCACTTCCAAACCTGTGGGGGCAGGAGGGCTTCCCAGATTCCGAGAGTGCAGCGATGCCTGGGTATGCAGCTGTGGCTGGGCAGCTGCAGCTGCACATGGGAGGGAAGGGCTCCCACTTGTTCCCAGCTCCTGCCAGCTCCATGGAGCGTGTAGGCCCAGCCAGGACTCCCCCACTGCAGCCAGCATCATGGCAGGAGCTGCTCCAGACTGGCTACTGCTGCCATCACTACTAGGGTAATGAGATGGGGAGGAATTAGAAGGAAGAGACATGACTAGAGGGACACTTTCACTGCATAGATCTTCATTTTTAATTTTGACAGTAACTGATAATTACCTATTCATAAGTCAATAAATTTAAAATAAAATAAAGAGTATATGTGATATAAATTATTTTGTTTTCTGGACTTAAGAAGTCAGAAGATATCTGAATCAGAATTAGATACGTGTTTTATTTTGGCATGTAATTATTTTGACAGGTGACAAATGTATATAAATCAGAGTAATTCACAAAATGTTTTATCATCTGTCAGTACACTAAGTTTATCACAAAAACCCATATATCAGGCTTTCACCTCAGGATGGTTGAGTTCTCCTTCTTCTTCTTCATAGGGACCACCAACAATGAATGCATCAGGAATGTTATTAGCTCCTGGAGCCAGAATGTTGGCAATTGGCCACTTTTTGGGCCGGGGAACAGGTTCTCTTTCCCCTCCAAGCTTCAGAGTTCCATTCTTAAATAAAATGGGATAGTCCTTCTACAGAAATAAATACCATACGTCAGGAAAGTTTGTAAAGGACTTTGAAATGGACAAGAAGATTAATCAAGTCTTTTCAATGGAATGCTGAGTGTTGTCAAACATACCCCACTATGATTAATCTGATTCTAGAGAGCGGCCTGTGCCTTTCATTGTCTTTGCACTATTTTACAACTCTGTAACTTACAGACATTTGATAATAATGCAAATTATTCTGGTTCATAAATACGCAGATACAGTTTGTCCAGTAGCAATGTAACTGATTATTTCCCTGAAGCTAATGACAAGTTTTGAATTATCGGCAAATTCATTTCAGCATTCCTGATGCCTATATACTCCTTTGAACTCATTGTCACATTTTACTGATTCCCTCACTAATAAGTTAAATAAAATCTTGGACCAACTTTTGTGTTATTTATTTTATACGAGAGTTGTGTTTATACCTGTTTAAAAATTATCCTTTAGAAAACAAACTAAAATCTGGCAAGGGGCTAAAAATATAGGCATTTTCATGTCTTATAACTTATCCAAAGAATACTTGCAGTAGAAAATTGGTAAAATATGTAAGTAGGCAATCTATAGAAGGGGAAATTAGAACATCCAACATTTAAATAAAAACATGCTACATTTCATTAATAATCAGTAAAGTGCACATTAAAACAATGAGGTATCAGCCAGGCAAGGTGGCTTAATGCCTATAATCCCAACACTTTGGGAGATAGAGCCAGGAGGATCACTTGAAGCCAGGAGTTCGAAACCAGCCTGGGCAACATAGAAAGACCCCTACATCTACAAAAAAAAAAATTAAAAATTAGCCAGATGCAATGGCATGCACCTGTAAACCCAACTACGTAGGAGGCTGAGGTGAGAGGATTGCTTGAGTCCAGAAGTTCAAGGTTACTGTAATCTATGATTGTGCCACTGCACTCCAGCCTAGGTGATGGAGTGAGACCCTGTCTCTTATTAATAGATAGACAGAGAGATATATAGATAGACAAAGGACAGGAACAAGAAGTTTACTGGAAAAGAAAACCAAATGGCCCTTAAATTAAAAGAAAGTTCTATTTCCAACACTATAGCAAACTAAAGTACAACAGATCCTTTATCAGCAACAAACACACAACAAACTAGATAAAGTAGAACAGCAACAACAACAAAAAGTTATATTTTATCACATAGCCAAGGTCAAAAGAAGTAAATGAAAGTCTAGGCTGGGCACAGTGGCTCACGCCTGTAATCCCAGCACTTTGGGAGGCCAAGGCGGGCGGATCACAAGGTCAGGAGTTTGAGACCAGCCTGGCCAATATGGTGAAACCCCGTCTCTACTAAAAATACAAAAATTAGCTGGGCGTGGTGGTGGGTGCCTCTAGTCCCAGCTACTCGGGAAGCTGAGGTCAGGAGAATCGCTTGAGCCCAGGAGGCAGAGGTTGCAGTGAGCCGAGATCATGCCACTGTACTCCAGCCTGGGCAACAGAGCGAGATTCCATCTCAAAAAAAAAGAAAAGAAAAGAAAGTCTAAAAGTGCCAGAACTGGCAGCAGCAGCAGCAACTCAATACCCAAGGTATAAGCTCATGAGCTGATGCTGTACCAACGTAGGAAATGTCAGACCCAGACACTACTATACAGAAGCAAGCATGGCCCTGTGCCCAGGCAGGACAGGAAGCTGGAACTAAGGCTGCTGCATAAAACTAGGACCTGGGCGTGGTGGCTCATGCCTGTAATCCCAGCACTTTGGGAGGCTGAGGCATGCAGATGACCTGAGGCAGGAGTTCGAGACCAGCGTGGCCAAGACGGTGAAACCCCGTCTCTACTAAAATACAAAAAATTAGCTGGGCATGGTAGCGGGCACCTGTAGTTCCAGCTACTCAGGAGGCTGAGTCAGGACAATTGCTTGAACCCGGAAAGCAGAGGGTGGAGTGAGCCGAGATCATGCCACTGCACTCTAGCCTGGGTGACAGAGCGAGACTCCATCTCCATCTCCAAAAACAAAGCAAAAAAAAAAATCTAGAACCTGGAAGGGCAACCTTTCATCAAATATCAGAATAAAGGAGCCGTTTTCAAGTTTAAAATGATGCAAGAAACCTAAAAGAAAAAAATTTAACTATTAAAAAACTTTTGTATACCAAAGCAATGACCCAAATTAAAAATAAATAATAAACCAGAAATAAACATGATAAACTATAAATTGACAAACTTGAAAGAAAACATTATTTTTCTCTACATATGAATTTTTTTTTTGTTTTTTTTTGAGACAGCATTTCACTCTTGTTGCCTAGGCTGGAGTGCAATCTTGGCGCGATCCTGGCTCACTGCAACCTCTGCCTCCTGGGTTTAAGTGATTCTCCTGCCTCAGCCTCCCCAGTAGCTGGGATTACAGGCACCCACCACCATACCCGGCTAATTTTTTGTATTTTTAGCAGAGACAGGGTTTCACCATGTTGGCCAGGCTGGTCTCGAACTCCTAACCTCAGGTGATCTACCTGTCTCAGCCTCCCAAAGTGCTGGGATTAGAGGTGTGAGCCACCACACCCCAGCCAGAATTTAAAAAATCAGTAAGAAAAATACTAAGACCTCCAGAAGAAAAAAAAATAAAAGGCACTTTCAATTATCAAAATTAGCAAAAACAAAGAAAAAATTTTCAATACAATCCCAAAGTTGGAGAGAGGGCAATGCACAGATCTGCCTCATATAGCTATGTGAGTTGTTCCCTGGAAGGGTGATCAGCCATCTCATTTGCCTAGGACTGTCCCAGTTGTGGTACTGAAAGTCCCATATCCCAGGAACCTCCTAAGTCCTCAGCAAACTGAAGAGTTGCTACACAACTTTAGTGGGTCATTCACATACACGGCCCTGGAAATAAGACAAGTCAAAGTGTTAACTGAATAGAAGCCTTTTAGCAAGCAATTTAGAAATCTCCATCAAGAGCCTAAGAAACTCCATATCCAATCATTCCTATACCTGGAAATGTGGCCTAAGAAAATAATCTGGAATTAAGAGAAAGTTTTGTTTAACAAAGCACATTGCACAAAATCTGCAAAATGTACACACAAAAATAATCTGTATAGAAATACACCAAAATTGGCCATTTTAAATGTCTTACATATTTTCTACCATACATTTATATAAATTATACTTAACGCACAATATATAATAAATATGTAAATCATAAACATTAAAATCTGTATATAAAATAGAGATAAACTGTATTTTTCAAGCCTAAAATAAATCTCAGCTATTAGCAGTACAATGTTTTGAATGAAATCTTAGAGGTGAGGAAGAGATGACCATATGAGTACAGACATGTTTGAATCTCTATAAACATCTGGCAGTAGGGCTTTACCTCTCCAAGTGATGGAACTTGCAGACCGACCATGTAGTTCTGCCCAGGACCTGTTGGAATGAAGGATTCAGGCACAGAGTAAGCAGCCTCCAACGTGACCTTTAGTAGATTGCCCCCTGAGATCTGGGCTGTGGTCAGTAAAGGCTCTGCCACTAATACTTTAACTTCAAGACTGCACTGCTGTAAAAGAATAAAATCATGCAACATTTTGAAAATTGCCAGAGATCTTCCTTTTTTGCATTACCTCATTTGAATCTCATATTACTGTTCAAGATAAGAAGGTAAAGCTTAATTATATCCATAAGTTGAAATCATGTTCTCTAGGTCCCTTGAGTTGGAGATAGAGCCAAGAAGAGAATCTTATTCCTAAACTGTTCCCTTCCCACTCTACCATATTGAGGTAAAGTATATATATAAATACATATAAAACAGGAATTGTAAGAGTCTATTGAAATGTTGGCCAGGCATGGTGGCTCACTCCTGCAATCCCAGCACTTTGGGAGCTAAGGCAGGTGGATCACCTCAGATCAGGGGTTCAAGACCAGCCTGGCCAACACAGTGAAAACCCATCTCTACTAAAAATACCAAAATTAGCCAGGCGTGGTGGTGCACGCTTGTAGTCCCAGCTGCTGGGGAGGCTGAGGCAAGAGAATTGCTTGAACCCAGGGAGGCAGTGAGCTGAGATCGTGCCATTGCACTCTAGCCTGGTCAACAAGAGTAAAACTCCATCTCAAAAAAAAAAAAAAGGTCGACAGAAGTTGCACATGAGTAAGTGAGATTGGGTGCTTTTTTGCTAGTCTATATTTTATTATTATTATTGTAATTTTTAAATTAAATTAAATTAAATTTGAGACAGAGTCTCGCTCTGTTGTCCAGGCTGGAATACAGTGGCATGATTTCGGCTCACTGCAACCCTGCCTCCTGGGTTCAGGTGATTCTTCTGCCTCAGCCTCCTGAGCAGCTGGGAGTACAGGCGCACACCACCACACTCAGCTAATCTTTGTATTTTTAGTAGAGACAGGGTTTCAACATATTGGCCAGGCTGGTCTTGAACTCCTGACCTCGTAATTCGCCCGCCTTGGCCTCCCAAAGTCCTGGGATTACAGGCATGAACCACCGCACCCGGCCTATTTTTGTAATTTAAATGTAATGCTTTGTAATAAGAAAATATTTTTTTCTGATAGATATGTATATATTCCATATAAATAGGTATAGACATATATGTGTATACCTCTGACATTTTCACTCAGGATACACACAAAGTAGGTTTTAAATGTGTATTGAGGCTGGGCAAGGTAGGCTCTCGCCTGTAATCCCAGCACTTTGGGAGGCCAGGGCAGGCATATTACCTGAGGTCAGCAGTTTGAGACCAGCCTGACCAACATGGTGAAACCCCATCTCTACTAAAAGAGAATATACATAAAAATTAATCGGGCAGAGTGGTGGGTGCCTGTAATCCCAGGTACTCGGTAGGCTGAGGCAGGAGAATCGCTTGAACCCAGGAAGTGGAGGTTGCAGTGAGCCGAGATCATACCATTCCACTCCAGGCTGGGCAACAAGAGCAAAACTCCATCTCAAAAAAAAAGAATGTGTATCGAATGCTAGGCACTCTGCTCCATCACTAGGGATATAAAGACAAAGAAGATATAGTTCCTTTCAACATAGAACTCATGTCATAGTGCCAAGATTTATGCGAAATCTATACTAGAGACCTGTACAAAATGCTGCAGTCAAGGAAACCAAGGAGGGAGTGAATAATTATTTGGCTGGGTTGACATTTATAGGATAAATAGGCATTTACAACCTGGATTAGCAGAGGAAGGAAAGAAAAAACCATTCTGGATAAGAACAGTTTTTGTGGGCTGGTCCAAAGGTAGTGAGTTATTTCAACTGACTGTTCGCAGTCAGTTACAGATCAAATTCTTTGTTCTATTCTTTCCCGTGTCTCACTACTGCACTTGGCTGGTCTTAGGGGGCAAAAACAGTCTATGTAAAGAGGGATTGGAACAGTATGGTATCTTCCATTTAGGTATATGTAAGTAATTCAGGATTCTGGAACTTGAAGTATTAATATAAGGAAAGGAGTAATGAGAGATGAGGTTGAAGGGGGAGGCTTCCATTATAAAGGATGCTGTATCCCTGCTAAGCAATCTGGACCTTAACTTGTAAGCAGCGGGTGAATCCATGAACTACACAGTACTAAGTAGGGGAAGAGATAAGATCAGATTCACTTTTAAATCATTTTGCAAGCCATGGGGAGGTTGAACTGGAGGGAGGTAAAGGTAGGTACAAGGCTATTTGTAACTATCCAAGTGAGAGATAATAAGGCAATAAAGAGTAGGAATGAAGCCAAAAAGAAAACCTAAAGACACTTAGAAGATGGAAAAGGCAGAATTTGGTGAAAGGCAGATTTGAGGATTGGCTGTAGTTAGGGTCTGAGGGAACAGTCATAGATATAATTTAGGTTCTATGTTCCATGATTTCATGGACGGGTGATGCCACTAGTCAAAAAACTAAGATAAAAGGAAGAGTAGGTTTCAGGGAAGATACTGAGTTCCATTTTGGAATGTTGAGTTTTAGGTGCCTATGAGATAACATTATAGAGATATACAGTAGGTGCTTATAAAGTCTGATATTCTAGAATTCCAGAAAGGGGTCTGGGCTAGAACTGTTGGATTAGAAATTTTCAGTGAGAGGCATGCTCCCATGCCCTAAAGTATATGAGGTGCTTTCATATACTATTTGATCCATCAGGACATAGCTCAAGAGTTATTTCCATGGTTAAGCCTTCCTTGCCTCTACCCGTGGACAAAGTAACTGATACCTGCTCTATGCCCATGTGCCTCGCTCCACCATTTAACCACACTGGGTTGTAATCTATGATATGTATATTGTGGGCTTTTCAAAGTAGGACTCCGCCTTATTATCTTTGTCTCCCAGAATCTAACACTAAGTGTGCTGTGAGAAGAAAATGCCCAATGCATTACACTTAACTGAACTGAACCTTAATAGCAGACAGAATTGTTACACTGAATGGCAGGCTGAAATGTTGAGAGCTAAAACTCTGATTACCTTAGCACTTGATCTAGGAGTTTCTAAGGGTGAGCCTTGCACAGGGTGCAATGGAACTGTTGTTTGAAATGAACTCTGTCCTGCAAAAAGAAGCCCAAGTTGAGCCAAAGAAGAAAGGGTTAAGTTGGGATGACTGCAGGCAGAGATAAATGTGCCCACTTTACCCCTCAAATGCCTCAAATTCATTGAGGCTAATTTCTATATCTCTCTGGGGCTAAGTTTTTATGAGCTTTGCCATTTCTGCTTTTGGGCAAAGCACACATCTGACCTTCCAGTAAGGGAAGAAGATCCACCACCGCCTGACCAAGAATTAAGGTCTTCTCTTCTTTCTGTTTCTTTTCCTTTGGTAAAACTTCAGTCACAGTTACTAGAAAAATCAAAACAAAGAAAATGAGACATTTAAAACATCCACCCGATAACCAAGGTGCAACACACAAAGCATTGGCAAAGATATGTACGTTAAAAAAAATTAACTTGAAAGTAAAGAAGGCATCAACATCAGTGACTTCTGATGGAAAATACCGGACCACTTCAGAGACTTTTGAACATTTTGCCTGCAAGTTATAATAAGAAATAGGTTTTAGATCATAATCATGTACATGCATGTGTATAAAAGTAACTGAGGCTGGGCGCAGTGGCTCACGCCTGTAATCCCAGTACTTTGGGAGGCCGAGGAGGGCAGATCACCTGAGGTTGGGAGTTCGAGACCACCCTGACAAACACGGAGAAACCCCGTCTCTACTAAAAACACAAAATTAGCCAGGCATAGTGGCCCATGCCTGCAATCCCAGCTACTCGGGAGGCTGAGGCAGGAGAATCGCTTGAACCTGGGAGGCGGAGGTTGTGGTGAGCCGAGATCAAGCCACTGCACCCAGCCTGGGCAACAAGAGCGAAACTCCGTCTCAAAAAAAGAAAAGAAAAAAAAAGTAACTGATACATATGATTATATAACAAAGCTTCATATAATATTAATCTTTACTAGGTCAAAATCCTTAGTTATTTTCTATTCTATTTCATATAGAAGAAATTACTGGTCATAATGCCCATCAGTTGATCTTACGAATGGCTAAAAAGTCACAATCTGAAGTTTGAAAAACACTGCTCTAGGGTGGGCGAGGTGGCTCAAGCCTGTAATCCCAGCACTTTGGGAGGCCAAGGCAGGCGGATCATGAGGTCAGGAGATTGAGACCATCCTGGCTAATACGGTGAAACCCCATCTCTTCTAAAAATACAAAAAAAAATAAATTAGCCAGGCGTGATGGCGGGCGCCTGTAGTCCCAGCTACTCAGGAGGCTGAGGTAGGAGAATGGCGTGAATCCGAGAGGCAGAGCTTGCAGTGAGCAGAGACTGGGCCACTGCACTCCAGCCTGGGTGACAGAGCGAGACTCTGTCTCAAAAAAAAAAGAAAAAGAAAAAAGAAAAAGGAAAACATTGCTCTAGATCCCCTATATTGCCTACCATAAGGCTTGACACATTTTGGAGTAATCCTGTAGCACGCAGAGTATGTACAAAGTTTTTCACTGCAGCATTACTCTGTGTGCTTAACACTTATTATAACAATTTCAAAATTTCAAATACACAAAGTAGAATAGTGTAACAACTATCCATATAACCATAATCTAAATTTAACAATTTTTTTGCTTCATCATATGTAGCTTTGTTTGCTCAAATACTTTTATCATATTTTCTGTTTGCTGAAGTACTTTTCAAATAAATTACAGACATCATGACATTTTACTCCTAAATACCAAAATACACAAATCCCAAGTAAGATATTTTCCTAGAAAACCACAATCACTTTACCACATTTGGCAAGTGTGTGATAATAGCATTAAATAATTCCTTAATTCATCTAGTGTCCAGTTGATATTTAACATTTCCCAATTATCCCCAAATTTATTTTATAGCTGGTCTGTTCAAACCAGAATCCACTCAAAGACCACGTGTTGCATTTGGTTGTCATGTTTCTTTTCATTTAGACCAGTCCCCCCTTTCCACATACTTCTTCTCTCAAACATTTCTCTCTTTTGTTGAAGACACCAGGCCAATAGTTATACAGAATGTTACACGTTCTAGATTTGTCTCGTTTTATTCCTCATAGCATTTAATTTGTTTCTCATTTCCTGTGTTTCCTACTTGGGTTCAGTTTCAGCGTTTTCAGCAAGGATAATAGAGTTTGATAACATATTTACCTATGTGGTATGTTATCAAACTCTGTGACGTTTGTAACCTGACAGATGAAAATAGCATCTAAGCATAATTTTATTTTTTGTATTAGAATCAGGTTGAAATTTTTTCCATATATTTAAGGACCAGTTATAGTTTCTTTTCCATGAACTTTTCATATTCCTTTCATATGTTTTATATACTTTTCCATTAGATTCTTGCTCTTATTAATATGCAAGAGCTCTTTAAAGGTAAATTTGCCTTCTGTCTAGAAATGAATTGCAAATTGTAATCCAGTTTGTAGCTTGTCTTTTACAGTTGCTAATGAATATATATATATATTATTTTTCTGTGGTTTCTACAGTTGTGAAATACTTATAAAGGCTTCATCTCTCAATTATTTTAATTCCATGATTTCTTATGGTAGTTACACGATTTAATTTTTTACCCACATTTTATCCAGCTGGTATTTATTTTGGTAGTTTGTTTGTTTGTTTTGCAAGACCAGGCCTCACTTTGTCACCTGGGCTGGAATGCAGTGGTGTGATCTCAGCTCACGCAAACCCCTTGCCTCAGGGCTCACAAAGTGAACCTCCCACCCCCAGCCCTGGGACGTAGCTAGGGCTACAAGTGCTCACCAACCACACCCAGCTAATTTGTGTGTGTGGGTGGTGTGTGTGGTGGTGTATATATATATATATATATATATATATATATTTTTTTTTTTTTTTTTCCCTGAGATGGAGTCTCGCTGTGTCGCCCAGGCTGGAGTGTAGTGGCGCAGTCTCAGCTCACTGCAAGCTCCACCTCCTGGGTTCACGCCATTCTCCTGCCTCAGCCTCCCAAGTATCTGGGACTATACCCGGCTAATTTTTTGTATTTTTAGTTGAGACAGGGTTTCACCGTGTTAGCCAGGATGGTCTCGATCTCCTGACCTTGGGATCCGCCTGCCTTGGCCTTCCAAAGTGCTGGGATTACAGGTGTGTGTGAGCCACCACGCCCAGCCCCAAAGTGTTGGGATTACAGGCATGAGCCACTGCACCCAGCCACTGTTTTTTGTTTGTTTGAGACAGAGTCTCGCTCTGTCACTCAGGCTGGAGCGCAGTGGTGTGATCTTGGCTCACTGCAACCTCCACCTCTCAGGTTAAGTGATTCTCCTGCCTCAGCCTCCTGAGTAGCTGGGACTACAGGCACGCTCCACCACCCCCAGCTAATGTTTGTATTTTGAGTAGAGATGGGGTTTCACCATGTTGACAGGCTGGTCTTGAACTCCTGACCTTGTGATCCACCCACCTCAGCCTCCCAAAGTGCTGGGATTACAGGCTTGAGCCACTGTGCCTGACCCATTACATTTTTTTAATTCAATTGAGATCTTCCAGTTCTTGGAATGACTTATGGCTTTCAGGTGAAACCTGGACTTTTCCTGTTGTTATGAATCTCTGGATCTCACTTACACCTTCTGTTTTCAGCTGGCGTTTTCCAACACCACCCCAACAGAAGAAGGAAGGAGATGTTGCCTCATTACTGCCAAGTTGGGGGTGGAAGTCTAGGTTCCCTACTCAGCCTCCACTGACACCTGATGTGGGCAGTTCCTCATTACTGTTGAGCAGGGGAATTGGAGTCCTGATTCCTTACTTGGTTTCCACTGATACCACAGTGGGTGTGGACTCATTACACCTGGGTGATGGTGAAAGCTCTGACTCTAAACTAGGCCTCCTCTGATACCACTCCAGTGGGAAGCAAAAGGGCACCTTGTTACTGACAGTTTGGGAGAGAAGTGCAAGATTCCTGTGGTCTCCACTAACATTATGAGGGGTGGGAAGGGGAATCATTACCAGAGGGGATAAAAGTCCTGGTTCCCTACTTGGTCTTCTCTGACATCACTAGGGTAAAGGAGAATCTCATTTTTGAGCTTTGTGAGAGTGGAAGTCTAAGCTCTCCACTCAGCTTGATTGAGGGTGGGGGCTACAGTTTTTTTTCCTATGGTTTTTAGCTGGAGTAAGGAATTACTCTCTAAAACTTTTCTGTCTTATTAGGCTGCCCCTTTCATAGTCTTTTGGCTAAACAGAACAGACTTTTATCAGGCTTGCTTTCTTTTTTCTTTTTTTGGTCTGTGCCCATTGGTGTCTCCAGGTTGCCACCTTCTTCAGCAAGAAGTATGGGATATATAAGGCAAAAAGAAAACCCAAGGAACTCACCACTGTGTCATTCCCCAGGTCCCAAGTTTCCTTCTCTCCACCTTTCAGAGTCTCTTATTTTTATATATAATGTCCAGGGTTTGTAGTTGTATTCAGTGGGAGGAATAGAGAAAAGTACATCTATTCCATCTTCTCAAAAGTTTTGCTTTTAATCCTTTTTATTTCTAATTAATGCGCTTAAGATTATAAATGTACCTCTAAGTACAACTTTAACTATATCCCACGAATTCTGATATTTTGTGTTTTACTGTTGATCTCTTCCAAATGCTTTGCAATTTTTATTATGACTTTTTTATTTGTCCCATAAATTATTCATAAGTATGTTTTTAAATTTCCAAATAGTATTTTGGCTATCTTTTTGTTATTGATTTCTAATTTTGTTGATTGTTACATTTTGGCAGAAAAGGTGTCTGTATGCTATTGATCCTTTGATCTATGGTAGGACTTGCTTTATCGCTTAGAATGTGGCCAACTGCTATCATAAAAATGCTCCTCCTGTGTTTTAAAAACACATATATTCTTTAATGGTTAGTACAAGCCTATGATTATTCCCAGGGAAGACTTTTTTCTCTACCCAGGATCTAGACAGAGATGCTTAAGCAGATTTTATTTTCCTGGTCCATACTTTTTGAGATCTTAACTTGTGATGGGGAGGTGATCTCAGTCTCTATTCCCCCATCAACAGCAGCCAAAGGTTTTCTGTCCTTCTGAGAGCATTAAAACCCAAGCCCCTAGGTTTTGGAGTACTGCCTTCTCCCTGCACACTTCCACTAACACATACACACCAACAGCAGCTGTTCAAGATTTCCAGGTTTCAGTTCCTGCCTTGCTTCTGGGAACAAAGGAAGTGCCCTTTCTTTCTCATGATTTTAGTTACATGTTTAAAAGAATGTTTTGGTTCTGCTTTTCCCATCCAACATGATAGGGAAGAAGGCAATCAGGACATTGATTTTTAGAACCACAAGGACTTACAGAACACAGGTTTGTGAGCGAGGTCATCTAAAGTGATTCCTCCTTCAGGATTAAACTCAAAACTGCTAGTGAAGTTGTATTTTGCACTTCCTTCTGGAGAAACAGTAGTTTTTGCAGAGTCTCCCAGAACCACTTGATTGAATTCTGCCCGAATAAAGGTAACTGGAGTATCTCCTTTAAAACCTTTCTGTTGGCAGAAACACACCACTTTACAATTATATTTAAATAGAGAATTTTCCTACACATCTGGCAACCCATTTTGATTTGGGCTAAATAGCATTTTTCATTTTTTCCTAACAAGCAACATCACAAATACAAAAGGAATAGGTAGAAAAATAATTAAACAAATCTAGTTTTACTTAAATGCAACATTCCATTTAAGTGCTGTTATGTTGGAGTTTTGAAAACAACATTTATTGTGTTTCACCTGATAATAGAAGTATACTGAGGAACATTTTTAAAAGAAAGAAAATTAATTACCTGCAATCTTACTGTAACATGTAAGCATTATTAACATTTTAGAATATATTTTCTAGTGTTTTGTTGTGAATATATGGATGTGCACGTATATACCCATACACACACACATAGATACATTTTTATATATGCATTTTAAAACAAAGTGGAGCTCATTAATTACATTCTCTTTGAAATGATCTTTTTAAACGTAATATACTGAATATTTTCCCATTTCATTATACTCCTAATTTTTAGTACATCACATTGTTGTTGTTGTTTTAATTAATCAAATAGAATTAATCACAAGGGAAACTCTGGAAGAATTCAGATCCTTCTCAGGAGAAAGGGAAAAAAATTATATGTGAACTGCTGTCTAGGGAAACTAAAACCACTGTTTCTTTCATCTTATTAAATTTAGTATTCAAATTGCCGAGTATTTGAGACACACAGTAATGTGACTTGGAGATCACAGACTAACAATAAGGAACACTGAGGCGGAATGCCACTGCTATATAAAGCCAGGAGGTTTGGAGGTAGAGAATGAAGCAAAATTCCATTACTCCTACAGGTACTCCCAAACTAAGGATTTTGTAAATTTCCAAAAGTAACTTTACCAAATCATATCCCTCTGTCACGGTGATCTGCACGAATCTGCCTGTTGATGGCACTTGCTCCATATCACCAACTGGGAAAAGTCCCTCTGGTTTTCTTTGGTCTCTGTAAACAGAATGAATCAACCTGTCCCCTCATGTACCAGAGCTGCAAAAGTACCCATATTCCATCATAACCAATACCAGGGAGAACCTAAGGAAATACCATAGTCCAGCACTGTTTTATTCCCCACATCCAACCTTTGCTGCTGGACAGGCAGTGCTTTAGGGAGCTGGTCACAAGGATGATTTCACTGGTTAGCGCTAAAAGATGTTTATACAAGTAACTAACCCATTAAGCACAAAGTCTCACAAGACAAAGTAGGAACACCTTGACCTCCCATACCCTACATCAGGGGTCCCCAGCCCGAGTCATGAACCAGTACCAGCCCGTGGCCTGTTAGGAACCGGGCCGCACAGCAGGAGGTAAGCAGCAGGCAAGCAAGCAAAGCTTCAATTCTATTTACAGCCATTCCACATCACCTGCATTACCACCTGAGCTCTGTGTCCCGTCAGATCAGTGGCGGCATTAGATTCTCACAGGAATGTGAACCCTATTATAACTGAGTACATGCAAAGGATCTAGAATCAAATGCCTGATTTGTCACTGTCTCCCATCACCCAGAGATAGAACTGTCTAGCTGCAGGAAAACAAGCAGGGCTCCCACTGATTCTACATTATGGTGAGTTGTATATTTCATGATATAGGCTGGGCGCAGTGGCTCATGCCTGTAATCCCAGCACTCTGGGAGGCGAGGCGGGCGGATCACGAATCAGGAGTTCGAGATCAGCCTGTCCAATATGGTGAAACCCCATCTCTACTAAAAAATACAAAAATTAGCCAGGTGTGGTGGCATGCGCCTGTAGTTCCAGCTACTTGGGAGGTTGAGGCAGGAGAATCACTTGAACCTGGGAGGTAGAGGTTGCAGCGAGCTGAGATCACACCACTGCACTCCAGCCTGGGCAACAGAGTGACTCCGTCTCAAAAAAAATACATAGGCCGGGCGCGGTGGCTCACGCCTGTAATCCCAGCACTTTGGGAGGCCAAGGCAGGCAGATCATGAGGTCAGGAGATCGAGACCAGCCTGGCTAACATGGTGAAACCCCATCTCTACTAAAAATACAAAAAAATTAGCCAGGCATGGTAGTGGGCACCTGGAGTCCCAGCTATTCTGGAGGTTGAGGCAGGAGAATGGTGTGAACCCGGGCGGCGGAGCTTGCAGTGAGCCGAGATTGCGCCACTGCACTGCAGCCTGGGCAACAGAGCAAGACTCCATCTCAAAAAAAAAAATATGAATGAAGGAAAGGGAGGGAAGAAGTGCTCTGATTTATTATATATTACCATGTAATAATAATAGAAATAAAGTGCACAATAAACGTAATGTGCTCGAATCATCCCCAAATCATCCCCGCTGCCCCCAGTCTGTGGAAAAATTGTCTTCCACAAAACTGGTCCCTGGTGCCAAAAAGGCTGGGGACTGCTGCCGTACACCCTTCACAGTGTTCTCTGGTAACCTTTTTTTTTTTCAATCTGCAAAGCTCCCTTCAAACATTATTTAACTTCTCAGTTTTACAAAAATATATTTTGAGAGCAGGAAAGAAGCAACCACATAAAATGGTAGTCCATTGGAAAAGGTCTTAATATATATACCTTATTTAGTCAGATATACTGTCAATTTTACAATACTAAGGGCACAAACAATTTCAAAAATAAATTGGATATTTGTTTTTTAGAAAAGGTCTTTTCTCTCTCCTTCCTTCCTTCTCTTTTTTTTTTTTTTTTTTGGTTTTTGTTTTTGTTTTTTCAGGCTCTCACTCTGTCACCCAGGCTGGAGTGCAGTGGTGCGATCACAGCTCACTGCAGCTTCAACCTCCCAGGCTCAAGTGATCGTCCCACCTCAGCCTCCTGAGTGGCTGGGACTATAGGCATGCGCCACCACGCCCAGCTAATTTTTGTATTTTTCGCAGAGACAGGGTTTCACCACGCTGTCTAGGCTGGTCTTGAAGGCTAGGCTCAAGCAATTCGTCCACTCAGCCTCCCAAAGTGCTGAGATTAAAAGGCATGAGCCACTGTGCCTGTTGAAAAGGCCTTATTTTCTAACTCAATTCAAACGTTTACTGAGGACATACTATGCTAAGTGTATTTGGTGATACAAAAGAGAAAACGACATCTTACAGCCTTCAGACTTTATCATCATCCTGCCTCTTCTCAGCTACTCCAGCATTTTTCCAGACACCTAAAAGTCTCAGATCATTTGTTCAACAACATATTTCTGGGCTGTTTCAGGGCTTTAGTGGCACTGACAACTTCTTTGTCAAATGTACATTTAAAATGCCCTTTTATATCAGTCTTCTTTCCTTTTCAAAAATATGGCATTAGGCCTTCATTACCCTTCTGCTAGACTGTAACAAAAGCCTCCTAACTGGTGTCTCTGACTCCAGTTTCTCACTCTAACTCATCCCGCTTCTGTAAGAACTGCTCATTGAAAAAAACTTTGTTAAGCTTGGCACTGTGGTGGGTGCTGAGGATACAAGAGATAAGATGTGAACTCTCTAACCTCAAGAAATTTAAAATCTAGTGAGGACGAGAGATGTGTAACTAGACCAGGAGTCATAATCTGTGAGACAGGTGCTCTGACAGAGGAAAAGAAGGGAGGAGTGAATGAAGGAAAGGGAGGGAAGAAGTGCTCTGACAGAGGAAAGGAGGAAAAGGGGGGTGGAAATTTTTTTTTTCTTTTACAAATATAAAGAATGTGAGAAGTAAGGAAATTAACTGATTATAGCCACTGTACCAAGTGTGCTTCACATTTATTATCTTAAACGTAGCCTCCCTTCTAAGTGATTCTTAAATCTCTGTTTGAGTGAAAAAAACTGCGCTTCAGAGAAGTTTGTTATCGTACCAGCAATCATACAGCAAGGAAGTGCTGCATGAAGCTGGGACCTAGCTGGATTTGAGAATATGTGTGCATGCCAGGAAAATCTTGGAGGAAGTACTCTGGAACTATGTCTCAATAGAGTAAAGGGAAGGATATTCCAAGAAAGGCAACAGATTTTTAAAACGTTCAGAGGCAAAACAACACACATAGCAAGTAGCAAGTAGCTTGCAGTGGTGGTGTAAGAAGAAATAGGGAGAAAATGAGATGAGACAAGCAGATAACTACCTTATTAAAGTACAGATCTGATCATACCACTGTCTTGTTCCCTCTCACCTACCAAACAAAGTTAAACTGTAACACTACAGTTTAACTGTAGTTAAATGTAGTACTACATTCAGGGCTTTCTAGGATCTTGCAGTGCCAGTCAACTCCCCTCTTCTAGCTTATGCTCTTGCTTAGTATTTTTCAAAGATCACCTGCATTTAGTCACTTCTGAACCTTTGCATTTTTCCTTCCCCCTGGAATGATCTCTCCCTTTCTACTCACTCCGTCTCTACAGCAAATCCTACTCATCCTTTAAAATCCAGCTCAAATGCTTCCTAGTCCATGAAGCTTCCCAGTCGGAAAAACCTGCCTTTCCTCTGAATTCATTTAGCACTTTACACGTCTCTTGTGGCATTACCACAAGCTGTCCTGTTTATGAAGACTGGGTATTCAAAGGACCTTTCCTACTTAATAACTATGTGCCCCTGGGTAAAAGCCTAACTTCTCTAAGCCTCAGTTTCACCTTCTGTAAAATGGATAACTTCCAACCTGTTTCACATTGTGAATACCCCCTAAGATATTAAAGCTGTTTAAGCTATGAAGCACTGCACAAATGATATTATTAATATGCAGCGTTTGTCCTGAGAGCTCAATTACACCTTCGAAGGCATGTGACCTTCACGCATATTTACGGGCCCCGAGTGCCTGGCACCATGTCTTGTACACAAGAGGCGTTCGCGTCGTGTTTGAACTATGAATGCAAGAAATAGGACTAAAGTTATGATCAGGGCAGTTAGGGTGGGGACTCTTGTTGCCCCCGGCAAGGCACGCATTTCTTGTCATCTGCTCGGAAGAAGCTACAAGGGGAGAGTCCAGTGAGAAAAAGGTTGGACGAAAGAGGCGATGTGACTGGGTCTGGCCTGGGGGACAAGCGCAGTCCGCGCGGAATGAGACCTACGTCGAGAAGCGGTAAAGGAGGACCTACGTCGAGAAGCGGTAAAGGAGGACCTACGTCGAGAAGCGGTAAAGGAGGACCTACGTCGAGAGGAGGACCTACGTCGAGAAGCGGTAAAGGAGGACCTACGTCGAGAAGCGGTAAAGGAGGACCTACGTCGAGAAGCGGTAAAGGAGGACCTACGTCCGCGCTCCTGTGGAGGTCGCCGGGCTGGGGCTGGAGGCAGAGTCCGCGCCTGGCCGGGCCAGCGGCTTTTCGGTCTAAATAACGGGGTTTTCAGCCTGGACTTAGCTGAGGGAGCAGAAGATCGGGGTGACGGCTGTGGTGTGGCCGCAGGACCGGGGTGGGGAGGCCGGGAAGAGAGGGTTTCTTCAGGAGGGATCGCTGTCTTACCTGCAGCAGCCTCAGTTATGTTTTTGACAACTATAGCAACCAACTACCTCTCGCGAGAACTTACTTTTGTCAATCGCAGCAAGTTTATTCCAAGACTCGCGATAACCCTCTGGGGACGACAGCAGGGAGCGCGACCCTGAGCTTCTGCGCCTGCGCCCTAGCGCCGGCTGTAGCCCCGTCATTTCGAGTCCCTGCTGTTTCTGCGGATGCTTTACCTTGGCAAGCGTTTGGGTTAAGTGCACAGGTTTCCATCTTTACATTTTGCTTTCTGGACTCTTTTATTTCAATATTTCTCCGTAATAGTAGGGAAAAAAGCATAAGGAAGTTTAAAGAAAAAGGCCTTTATTAAACTGATTTGAAAACATCATTTAAATATTTCTGCGTGAAATATGCAACATTTTAAAAATGAGCCTGTCACGCACTGTTGATGAGAGTGCAAAATGACCCTGCTCCTAGGTGCTCAATATTTGTACAATAAACAGACCTGAAGTTTATGATGTTAATACAAACTTTTCATATTCAAAATTTAACATTAAAGAGCTAAAATAGCAAAACACAATAGCAACAACCTGGAAACAACCCAAGTGCCCGTCGACGGAATAGTGGATGAGTGGACCAATAAACTGTGGCATATTCACAAAGAGGCATATTACAGGCAGTCAAAGTTAATGAACTGCACAACGCAGATGAATTTTAGCAATATGTATACTTTAAATTGTTGCAGTATTAAGAGCCAGCTTGAAGGGACTCCCTTGGGCCAAATGAGGGACAATTTGAGCATGAAGTAAACAACGACCATAACGGATTACAATCCATTGAATATGCAAGTCCGTGTTGATATAGAGAAACAGGAAAACTCCTTCGAAGTAGGATGCCAACACAGAAGTGTAGCAAGAAGGATGGAAATAGAGAACTACCATTTGACAACTACTGAGGAGGATGACTCAGGCAGGAGTGTTCAGTGGACGCTAAGGCTGGTGGGTAGATGTTCTGTGAGGCATAGAATACTGGGTGATTTTGGAATGCTTCTCCCATGGAATACTACTCGATTTCAGAGGGGAAAACACTGAATGGAAGCAACCAACATGATCAGGTGATCATGGTTAACATCATCAGTGTTGGGAGGAGTCTACATTGTGAGCCTCCTGGTGAAACACACTAAAATCCACAAAGTATCCCTTTTGGTTTTCCTACCATCAAAGGAACTCAGGTTGTAGACCATCCAAGGACAGGAAAGACTGGGAACTGTCTCTGACTGAGGTTATATGACAACTAAATGCAATATGTATCTCTGTATAGCATTCTGGACCAGAAAGGAAAACAACATTGTTAGGACAGTTGGCAAAATGTGAATTAGCTCTGTGAATCACATACCACCGCGAACATGCCCGATCTCGTCTGAACTGGATGGTATGTTGTACCAATATTGAATCCCTGATAAGGAAGTTTGTTTGTTGTTAGGTAGGAGAGTGTCCCTGTTTAGGGGAAAATAAACACTGGTGTGTTCAGGAGTGATGAGAAACTATCTCTACAATTTGCTCTCTTGACTCTCAAAAGGTCCAGAAAAAGACTAACAAGGGATACATACACATGTACATACACATATGCACATGCATGCACACATGTACGCATACACACACAGTGAGCAATGAAACAAGTGCAATAAAGTGTTAACTATTTGGGAATCTGAGTGCAGGGGACATGGGACTTCCTTACACGATTTGGGCAACTTTTGTATACATTTGAGATCATTTCAAAACAAATTATTAAAATATATACCTACACATAGCCACTCTACCTGGGAAGTTCTTTGCTTAGGATATAGAGTTACCAGAGTCAAAATTTAAAATTTTTGTTTATGTGAATAAAGAAACATTATAAACACTAAAAGAAATACTTTTTGGAACTTGCAGTGTTACAGGTAATAAAGGTTCTCAAAATAAAACTACTGTGGCACTACTGAGTAAGGATTTCTCTCTGGATTTTTTCCCAAGTGAGGGTTTTGGGTGAATTTGCACTGAGGCAGCTATCTCACTTGCAAATGACACACTTTTTCTACATAATAAGCTGGGTTAGGCCGAGTCTTTAATAGGGAGCTGTTCTTCCAGAAATCGCTCATGATCTTGATCTACTTAGTACTTTGCTTCAAGGTCTTAGGCAAGCAAGGATAAATAACAGATGTCACTTCTTTAAACATAATTAATCTCCATTCAACTGTAGGGTACCTGAGAGCAAGGGCTGTATGTTACAATTTTCTTTTTTCTTTTTTTTTAAGACAGAGTCTCACTCTGTAGCCCAGCCTGAAGTGCAGTGGCGCAATCTGGGTTCACTGCAACCTCCACCTCCTGGGGTCAACTGATTCTTGTGCCTCAGCCACCAGAGTAGCTGGGATTACAGGCACCCATCACCACGCGCGGCTAATTTTTGTATTTTTAGTAGAGACAGGGCCATGTTGGCCAGGCTGGTCTTGAACTCCTAACCTCAGGTGATCCACCCACCTCAGCCTCCCAAAGTGCTAGGATTACAGGCGTGAGCCACCATGCCTGGCCTTTTTTTGTTTTTTGGTTTTTTTTTAAATTGAGACAATCTTGCTCTGGAGTTCGGTGGCATGATCTCGGGTCACTGCAACCTCCGCCTCCCGGGTTCATGTGACCCTCCCGCCTCAGCCTCCCGTGTGTGTGTGTGTGTGTGTGTGTGTGTCTGTTACTGTTCTTTTATTCTCCTACAGTGCTTAGCAGTGGCCACTCTATTTGAAAGGCATTCAATACTTTTTGACTGATTTAAAACATCCACTTGTGTATGGAAAAAGCCCTCTTTAGTGGTATGGAAAATATAATAGTACTGGAATCATAATAAAATCATCTACATATGCAAACCAATTTCAGGGAAAAAAAACTATAAAAATCTCTTTCTAATAAAATTCAAATGCCTTGGTCTGAGTTTCAAAGGCCTCCACTAAATTATGCACTAGCTCAACAAATTCCTTTCTCATTACTCCAAAAGACATGTTTCTAATTAGCTAATTTGTTACTTCCAAAGTCAACATATTTCTGACACTCAGTAAAACAATCAAATGTATTGCTCATCCTCAAATTGATCTACAGATTGAGAGCAATCACTATTAAAATCCCGACTTTTTTTTCCAGAAATTAACAAGCTGATCCTAAAATTCATATAGAAAAGCAAGGGACCCACAGTAGCCAAAACAATCTTGAACCAGAAGAACAGTCGGAAGACTCACACTTTCCAATTTCAAAACTTTCTACAAAGTTGCAGTAATCAAGTAATGAAGACAATAATAAAGGCATAAAGATAGCCATATAGATCAAAAGAATCAACTGAATTGAGAGTTCAGAAATAAACTCTTACATTTATGGTCAATTGATTTTTAACAAGAGTGCCAAGATGATCTAATGGGATGTGGGAGGGAGGGCGGTAATATAGTCTTTTAAACAAATGGTACAAGAAAAAACAATGTCCACATTCAAAGAATGAATTTGGACCCTTACCTAACACCATATACAAAAAATAACTCAAAATGAACCAAAGACCTAAATGTAAGAACTAAAACTATAAATTTGAGGGTTTTCTATTTCTGTGAAGAATGTCATTGCAATGTTGATAGAGTCTGTGTTGAATCTGTAGAGCACTTTTGAAGTATGAACATTTTAGCAGTGTTAATTATTCTAATCCATGAACATAGGATACTTTTTTTTTGTAGTAATTGTGAATGAGATTGCTTTTTTCTTTTTCAGATAGTTCACTATGGCATATAGAAATGCTACTGATTTTTGTATGTTGCTTTTGTATCCTGCAACTTTACTGAATTTATTACTTCTAGCAGTTTCTTGGTAGAATCTTTAGGGTTTTCTGTGTATAAGTTCATGTCATCTGCAGACAGGAAGTTTGACTTCTTTCTGTCCAATTTAGATGTCCTTTGTTTCTTTCTCTTGCCTAATTACTCTGGCTAGGACTTCCAGTACTATGTGACTAGAAGTAGTGAAAGTGGCTATCCTTATCTTGTTCCAGATTTTAGACAAAAAGCTTTCAACATGTCCTCATTAAGTATGTTAGCTGTGGGTCTGTCATACATGGTCTTTATTGTACTGAGGTATGTTCCTTCCACATCTAATTTGTTGAGAGTTTTGTTTTGTTTGGTCATGAAGGGATGTTGAACATTACCAAATGCTTTTTCCACGTCTACTGAGATTATCATATGGCTTTTATCTTTTGTTCTGTTAGTGTGATGTATCACAAAAATTGACTATCCACATGCAGAAGAATAAAACTAGACCCCTATCTCTCACCATTTACAAAAATAGCCTCAAAGGGGATAAAATATTTAAGCATAAGACCTGAAACTATTAAACTATTAGAAAAAAAAAACACACAGGAAAAAATGCTTTTGACATTGGTCTGAGCAAGGAATTTTTGGATAACCCTCAAAACACAGGCAACAACAACAACAAACATAGACAAGTGGGATTACATCAAACTAAAAAGCTTCTGCACAGCAAAGGAAACAATCAATAGATTGAAGAGACAGCATATAGAATGGGAGAAAATATTTACAAACTATGCATCTGACAAGGGGTTAATATCCAGAATATATAAGAAACTCAACACCAAAAAAGAAAAAAAAAATGCAAAAAACAAAAACCCCCACAAATAATCTGATTTTAAAATGGGCAAAAGATCTAAATAGACATTTCTCGAAAGAAAGTATACAAATGGCCAATAGATTTATGAAAAAATGTTCAACATCACTAAACATGAGGAAAATGCAAATAGTGTATCTACACAAACATAGATAGCATAGCCTACCACATACCTAAGTCATATAGAGTATATCCTATTGCTTCTAGGCAACAAACAGGTATGGCATGTTACTATACCGAATACTGTAGGCAATTTTAACACAATGGTAAGTACTTGTGTATCTAAACATAGAAAAAGTACAGTAAAAATATGGTATAAAAGATAAATAGTACACCTGTAGAAGGCACTCATAATGAATGGCACTTGCTGGCCTAGAAGTTGCTCTGGGTGACTGAAGGAATGAGTAGTGAGTGAATTGTGAAGGCCTACGACATTACTATATACTACTGCAGACTTAATAAACACTATATAATTAGGCTACACTAAATTTATTTTAAAACTTTAAATAATACATTTACTTTAGCTTACTGTAACATTTTTGCTTCCTAAACATTTTTTTTTCCCTTGGAGTTAGGGTCTCGTTCTGTCACCCTGGCTGGAGTGCAGTGGCATGATCATGGCTCACTGCAGCCTCAATCTTCTTGGGCTCAAGCAAACCTCCTGCCTTTTTGTATTTTTTTGTAGAGATGGGGTTTCACCATGTTGCTCAGGCTGGTCTTGAATTCTTGGGCTCAAGTGATCCACCTGCCTCGGCCTCCCTAAGTGCTGAGACTACACGCGTGAGCCACTGCACTCAGCCTAAACTTCTTAACTTTTTGACTCATAGCTATACAAAAATATTTTCTGTACATCCTTATAAGTTTTTTAAAAATTATTTTTTACAGGCCTTCTACAGGTATACTATTTATCTTTTATACCATATTTTTACAGGTGGCTGACGCCTGTAATCCCAGCACTTTGGGAGGCCGAGGCAGGTGGATCATAAGGTCAGGAGATCGAGACCATCTGGCTAATATGATGGAAACCCCGTCTCTACTAAAAATAGAAAAAATTAGCCGGGTGTGGTGGCGGGCGCCTGTAGTCCCAGCTACTCAGGAGGCTAAGGCAGAAGTATGGCGTGAACCCAGGAGGAGGAGCTTGCAGTGAGCGGAGATCATGCTGCTGCACTCTAGCCTGGGCGACAGAGCGAGACTCTGTCTCAATAAATAAATAAATAAATAAATAGTTTTTTACTTTTTGAGCTTTGTTAAAAACTAAGACACAGGTCAGGTGTGGTGGCTCTGGCCTGTAATCCTAGCACTTTGGGAGGCCGAGGTAAGAGGACTGCTTGAGTCCAGGAGTTACCAGCCTGGGGTGACATGGTGAGACCACGTCTCTTCAAAAAACTTAAAAATTAGTGTGGTGTGATGGCAAAAGCCTGTAGTCCCAGCTACTTGGGACGCTGAGGCAGGACGATAGCTTGAGGCCAGGAGTTCAAGGCTGCAGTGAGCAATTATTCCACCACTGCACTCCAACCTGGGTGACAGAGCAAGACCCTGCCTTCAAAAATAAAAAAAACAAAGACCCAAATACACACATTAGCCTAAGTCTACACAGGCTCAGGAAAATCAACATGACTGTTTTCCACCTGCACATCTCATCCCACTGGAAGGTCTTCAGGGGCCTAACACACATGGAGCTGTCATCTCCTAAAACAATGCCCTCTTCTGGAATACCTCCTGAAGGTCCTACCTTGGGTTTTTTATAGTTAACTTCTTTTCAATGAGTAGATGGAATATACTCTAAAATAATGATTAAAAGTCTAGCATTAGTAAGTACTAAGTGATAGGAATTTTTCAGCTGTGTTATGTTATGGAACTACTGTCATATATGTAGTGTTGTTGACTGAACCTTCATTATGCAGTGCATTGTTGGTGAGAATGTAAATTGGTACAGCCACTGTGGAAAATAGTAGAGGGTTCCTAAAAAAATTAAAAACAGAACTACCATATGAACTAACAATCCCATATATCCAAAGGATATGATATCAGTATGTCAAAAAGATGTCTGCACACCCATGTTTATTGCAGCACTATTCACGATGGCCAAAACATGGAATCAACCTAAGCGTCCATCAACAGATGAATGAATATGTGGTAAATTTACACAATGGAATACTATTCAGCCATAAAAAAGAATGAAATCCTGTCATTTGGAACAACTTGAATGAGCCTAGAGATCATTA